ACCCTTTGTATACCTCTCTGCAAAATTTCAGATAAGCTTATAGCATAAAATCATAAGAACGAGACGTTCGAAAATCGTCGTTGAGCTTAGGATAATACGAGCTCTTATGGACTTACACAATTTTGTCACCGTACGTCATACGATTACTTTTCGTAGAACTCGGCCAGGATGATCAAAAACTAGAGTAATGAACGGGAAGTCATCCTATTTGTAATGGTTCGTTGAAAATTTTACCTTATAGGACAAAATTAAAAGATATTAATTGAAAAGCAATCATGTATTGCCATTTACTATGTCAAAAGCATAGGCGAGAGTGGACTGCTAATTTTTTGAGGTTAATCGGAATTACATAAAATAGTTGTTAGAAACCTTGATATTGGATATTGTGATCTATAATGTGACACGGATGCTTTGTTTCATTCAATGAAGAATATTTAATAAAATATTTATGAATATTGACAGCCTCAATAGAAATTATCTTTTTAGTTGCACATTTGACTCGGGAGTCACGCATGAACCACCTTAAGTAGTAGTATTCCAATTTTTTTGTTTTTTTGCATGAAGATTGAGAATGCTGTACTGATAAAAGTTAATATTAAAGTACATCATACGTAACGCACATTAATAATTTACACTTACTTTATGATAGTAATGCATAACATGTTGCAAGAAAATTACAATATACAATTTTTTAGAAGTTCTTCCTAATAATAAATTGACGTGATGACAAAATGCATAGTTAAATTGAAACGGCGAAGCTAAGTTTTTAATACGCTTCTGCTCAATTAACGTTATACACTAAAATATTTTTCTGGCTGTAGTTTGGATTGGTATTCTTTCTTAGAATGTGACATACAGTCACACTTGAAGCGCATATATAAGTAGTAGGTAGTAAGTATGTACAACGATATTAGCCACCTATACGTCCTATACACGCTGAGGAACTATCAGGTTGCCTGGTTTCGTTTCATTTCACCGTCACTTGCAGTCACAATAAAGTCTTACGCAGTTTATACCATCAAGAAAATCCCGTCCTGCAAGAATCAACTGGTTATTATGGTGTATACGATAGCTATGGTGAGGTAAAATTAACGAAAATTCAAGATATCATAACAAATTCCCTCCTAAAATTTGCTAACAAATTTTTCCAACTTTGCTGACTCTATAATTATCTTCTTTACTGTTTCATTTCTACACTATACATTTACTCTTTCACTCGAATATATTCTGTTGTACTTACGTCATCTATATCGAATACTTATTTATGTGCAATGTTTAATTGACACACGTGTATCCACGTAATCGCATTTTAATAAAATAACAATGTTTATATTTAATATCTTGAGGTTATTTAAGGTACCTACATTATGTATTTGAAATATTTCAAGGCCTCACTTGCACTGTCAAATTATTTTAACTACATTTGTAGGATACATCCAGAACTTAGTATTTCTTTGGCATTACTTATAATATTTGATGAATACTCCATTATAACTTAATGTCTTATTAATATTTTTCTCAAGTATCCCTGTGATAATAAATACCATATTTTGCAATATAATTTGAGAAGATTAAGAGGAAGTGGGGTTTGGGTCGCTCGCGCGGGGAGGTGAAGGGGAGCACACGTGCATATATCGATGGTCCAGAGGAAAAGACAATTCCAGCGTGACGTAACCCCATTTGAAATAACACGGAGCGACGTCACGCTGGAATTGTCTTCCTCTCAACCATCGATATATGTATAATATAATATGGAGTGTGCAGGGCGCCTAATGCATGCATGCATTAAGGCGCCGTCATAAAAATCTGCTGTACTAACCTAGCCCAAAAACGTCCGCTCTGTCGGTTACGGTGTGGTGTTACGGTATTGGCCAGTACTTAAGTTATTCATGTGTTAATTATACGCGTCAAAAAAATTACAGAATTTTCTTCAAGGTATCTAGTTTCTTATAGCATAAATTAAATAACATAAATACTTTTTGTATGGGAGATGAATGCAAACATTACATTTGTCGAAACTTTATAGATTTGTTCGATTACAAGGTTCCAAGCGCTCGGAGTGCTCCGAACTCTAGCCCAAACACGCGTTCTTGCTCCGAGCGTTCCAAGTGCACGTGACTCAGGCCGCCTGTGGATAGCCGTGTAAAGATCCAGCTAACCTATATTATTTTTAATAGTAATCAATGATTCATAAAAACGATTTTATTTTATTTCATACGAATTAGAAAGTGGTTGTCGACAGCTCTAGTATAGTTACGAGGTGAAAAAGCTGATATGTGTTTTTAAAAAAGTTTCTCAAAAAAGTTTTTGTTTTAAAGTTTTACCAAGTTTTTTCTAAAATGGAAAAACAAACGGTAAGTGTTTTTTTTTATGCTTCAATTAATGAGATTAGCTAAGCATTTACGGATTTGCAATAGACTTTGATAAAATTGCGTTGTGGCGAATGTGGATATGATATTGAGGATGATCGAATTTTGAAACATCATTGTCTCTCTCAATATTGGGAAGTTGAACTGATGGGCTTTTACGTATACCCCCTCCTGCTAGAGGTAGGTACATATCAGTACTCTTTATAGAATAAAATTTTCTAGAATGAAATGCTGATCTACCAATATTTTAGGATGTNATAAATATGCAAAATGAGTGTATGATAATACTTTTCCTATGATTTCATTACACAAGAGTTATGTATTTTTAACAAAATACTTGTGTCAAACTTACCCAAAAATCTGTTAAATTTTAAACATAATTGTACCGTCTAAAATTGAACAGAATCAACCAAGTATCCTGCAGTAAAATATGTATTGTCATATGTCTCAAGCCCTTTATTAGTTTTATTAATACTAATATAACTACTTATAACAGATCACGTATTTTGTTTGATAGTATGAAATTAAAATAAATTCCGTTGAAACAAAGTGGTTATATTGGTAGTACCCTACATGTTTATAATGTAAAAATAATCTTAAGGTGGTTCATGCGAAAATTAAAAACTAGGCTATCAAAGTAAAACTTGGAGAGGTTCTTTACGAACCCTTTGTATACCTCTCTGCAAAATTTCAGATAAGCTTATAGCATAAAATCATAAGAACGAGACGTTCGAAAATCGTCGTTGAGCTTAGGATAATACGAGCTCTTATGGACTTACACAATTTTGTCACCGTACGTCATACGATTACTTTTCGTAGAACTCGGCCAGGATGATCAAAAACTAGAGTAATGAACGGGAAGTCATCCTATTTGTAATGGTTCGTTGAAAATTTTACCTTATAGGACAAAATTAAAAGATATTAATTGAAAAGCAATCATGTATTGCCATTTACTATGTCAAAAGCATAGGCGAGAGTGGACTGCTAATTTTTTGAGGTTAATCGGAATTACATAAAATAGTTGTTAGAAACCTTGATATTGGATATTGTGATCTATAATGTGACACGGATGCTTTGTTTCATTCAATGAAGAATATTTAATAAAATATTTATGAATATTGACAGCCTCAATAGAAATTATCTTTTTAGTTGCACATTTGACTCGGGAGTCACGCATGAACCACCTTAAGTAGTAGTATTCCAATTTTTTTGTTTTTTTGCATGAAGATTGAGAATGCTGTACTGATAAAAGTTAATATTAAAGTACATCATACGTAACGCACATTAATAATTTACACTTACTTTATGATAGTAATGCATAACATGTTGCAAGAAAATTACAATATACAATTTTTTAGAAGTTCTTCCTAATAATAAATTGACGTGATGACAAAATGCATAGTTAAATTGAAACGGCGAAGCTAAGTTTTTAATACGCTTCTGCTCAATTAACGTTATACACTAAAATATTTTTCTGGCTGTAGTTTGGATTGGTATTCTTTCTTAGAATGTGACATACAGTCACACTTGAAGCGCATATATAAGTAGTAGGTAGTAAGTATGTACAACGATATTAGCCACCTATACGTCCTATACACGCTGAGGAACTATCAGGTTGCCTGGTTTCGTTTCATTTCACCGTCACTTGCAGTCACAATAAAGTCTTACGCAGTTTATACCATCAAGAAAATCCCGTCCTGCAAGAATCAACTGGTTATTATGGTGTATACGATAGCTATGGTGAGGTAAAATTAACGAAAATTCAAGATATCGTAACAAATTCCCTCCTAAAACTTGCTAACAAATTTATCCAACTTTGCTGACTCTCTACCTAACTTACTGTACTATTTTTAGAGTATAATTATTATTCCTCTCAAATACATTTTATTGTACATTATCAACATCTAATACTTATTTGTGTGCATTGTTTGAATATTAATGTCTTGAGGTTCAAATACCTACATAATATATTTGAAATGTTTCAAGGCCCCACTTGCACTGTCAAATTATTTTAACTACATTTGCAGGATACATCAAGCACTTTGTATTACCATTGCAGTTAGTTATAATACCTTGAAAAATATTTATTCATTATTTCTGACTTGGTGATGCATCAATTTAAGTAAGTACTCATATGACTGTTTGTCGTGATAATAAAATACCATATTTTACGACAAAGTGAGAGTAGATTACCAATAAGCCTTTATTAATTGACTCGTAGTTGTATTGTTGTGCAGCGAATCAGGGCACAACAAACTCTTACGTTGTAACTAATATACTTAAAAATAAATGGTTAGTATGATACTTTTATTCAATACGTATACGCATTACAATAGCAAATATTCCATCACCAGCGAATACGTACGTTGCAAACCACTGATTTCGTTCTACATCGTAAGGTTTTTTTCTACTCCTAAGCTTCCTTTGATTTTTCAAGTTTACAAGAGTTTAACAAAAATTATCAAAGTAGGAAATAACAATAACAAAAACATTAAGTTTTTTCTTAATTTGTTATTAAGTCGCTACTACAAATTAAAAAAAAAAAAAAAAAAAGAAACAAGAAAAAAGAAAAAAATCCGATCGTACGTCTATTTCATTGTTTCAGTCGATTAACTTGACCTCGTTACGATTATGAGTTTCATACAACAAGGTTTGCAAGGACTTCTGCTCGACGGCGAGAGTGGGTCGCCAAAAAAATCTGCAGAAGCATCGACGGCCGCTCGCGAAAGGGGCAACAAACTGTACAGAAGCACCACTCATACCAAGAAAATCTACCTCGACACTCTGTCCTGCTACTCCGAAAGCGCGGCTTTGGCGGAGGATGGCTCAGAGGAACTGGCCCTGGCCTACTCCAACAGATCAGCTCTGCTGTTTCGTTTGCACAAGTACCAGGAGTGTCTCGTTGACATCAAAATGGCCCATCAGATCACCAAGTCGGACGAGCTGAGGGTGAAGCTTCTGACCCGAAAAATGAAGTGCATGAAGCTGAGGAACGACAAGAGCAACTCCATTGGCTCTGGTAATGTCGAAGCTGTCGAGTCTCTCGCTGTTGGCAACAGGTCCCCGACCATCCCGTGCGCCTACGACTGTGTCACTCTGGCCCACAACGAGAAATTTGGGACGCACGTGGTGGCCACCAAGAACATAGAACCTGGACAAGTCATTGTGATTGAGAAAGCCCTTGCTCAGTTTCCCTCGAGGGACAAGACCTACCTGGTTTGCTCCCATTGTTTGGCCTTTGCTTGCAATGGGTTGCCGTGCAAGTCTTGCGTGGTTGTGATATACTGCTCGGAAAAGTGCAGGAAAGAGGCTTGGGCGCAGTATCACGATGCTGAATGCGTTGTTTTGCCGTACACAAAATACACGATCTTTGAGGTACTTAAATTCGATCTTGGAATTGAGGATTCATTGTTGCTGGCGATTCGATTACTCATAAAATTGGTAAAAAGAGAGGGTTTACTCAATGTTGTCGAAGGTGCCCGTGAGATCGATGATTTGCACAGTAGAGGTTCGTAACTGCTCAAACTATGGATCATTTAAATTTTCGATGATTCTATTGACTCTATATGTTTTTATAGGTGAATATTTTCAAGGATTTTTCGATGACGATCCAAACTTTCAATACAACACATTTAAAAGTATTTTCAATTTGTCACGTTGTACATTGCCGAATATACGCTCGGTTACAAAAATGATGTTTAAAGCTTTGCTGGACAAGGCCATAATATTTCTGGTGCGGAATTCAAATATCTTTGACCCTATCAAGTTTAATGGTCCAACGTCTTTTGACAATGATACATTCGTGGATATTATTTTGGAATTAACACGGATTGTAGAACTTAACTCTTTCGAGGTTTGTTTAATATATTTTTTTTTCTTCATATTTAAGTGATTTTAAATATATCAAAATAGTAATTTTATCAAACATAATATTAAGTTTGGCGGTACGTGTGAATCCTCGATACTCGGAAAAAATTGCCCAAGCCTTTGCGGAGAGCGAAACATTGGAATATTGCTTTTGTCGTTGTGCAGTTTGATTAATCACAGTTGTTACAGTAATACTAAACACTTTGAAACTTCCAATTTGGATATGTTTGTCTGTGCAACAAAACCCATTAAAAAAGGGGAACAGGTAATTTCCGATATAATTCACTAATAAAAAAGTTTAAAAAAATAAAGTTGTTACTCGTTATCACCAAGCAAATTAAACTTTTGAATTTTATAATATTTAAATTCTAGATAACCATTAGTTATAAGTCTACAGCAAGGATGGACAAAATAATGAGGCAAAGGTTAATAAAAGCATCATTTGCCTTCATTTGTAATTGTACGGGGTGTGAAGAAAATTGGCCATGTAAATTAGTGAGTTACTTTGTTTTTACCTATAATTTTTCTACTCTCTTAGAATCACGTGAACACTCGATTTTCAACTTTCTATGATATTTAACGACGGACAAAACTAATTTTTTTTATTGTAATCGTAGGAATACCCCCACCAATCAACATGGAGAATGCTTTTGAATTTTGAGAAAAATTTCACAGCTGAAGAAATGCTATCAACAATAAAACCCATCACTTCGGAAAATATAAAAAATTTATCTATGGATAAGTCAACTTTAGTAATAATACTTAAAGCAATCAAAATATCTTATGACATTTTGAATCCCCCTGAAGCTTATTTATTCAGTTCTAGATTCCAACTTTTTATTCAAAAGTATTTTATGAATTTTGTTGGTTAATCTTTAAATCACTTTTAGAAGATTTTTGAAATCAAAGAAAGTTATTAAATTGTTCAAAGCAATACATTCATTTACGAAAATAACAAAATTTTGTTTTAGAGGAATAAATGTTGTATTTTTTTGACTCATGTATTCGATAAAATCAACAATATTCGTATATTTTTTAAAGTAGGTAAACCTTAAGACCCAAGACTTTTTTCAAGATTCAATAATGTAAAATTTTATTTTTAACAAGATTACTGCTAAGATTCGATCAACAATTTAAGATTTATTATAAACGTTCACTTGTTTCATTGTATTGTTCGGACTTAATAAAATTTTCGAAAAAAAATACAATTTGTTGTTCAAAAGAATTTGAAAACCACTTTTAATACTATATTGATGTCAAAATATTTTATACACTCAGTCCTACCTCGTGTATGTATCATTTGTAAATAAGTGTGATTTGTAATGTGTAATTGTAAAATATGCACTGAGAGAAAAATATAGTAAAAACTGTAGAGGAATTCCAGCAAAAATTACCGTATGGCCCAGTAAATCGAATGCAAGCTGACAAAAAAAGAAGAAAATTATTATTTTTAACAGTAAAGATTATTTATTTAAGAGTTAAAATTATAGTTCGAAAAGTAAAAATTATGGTTAGATTAGTAAAAATTTCTATGCGGAAAAGTAAAATTTATTAACTGATCCTTTAAGGTTTGCTGTTCCAGCATGGTAAATTTTACTGTTCTTACCACAATTTTTACTATTCAAACAACAATTCTTATTGTTGAAACAATAATTTTCACTGTTAAAAATAATAGTTTTTTCTTTTTTGCCAATTTGTATCTGATTTACTGTGTGGAATGGTAATTTTTACAGTACAAATCGAAATCTTCCCATGTCCAGAAAGCTCCACGAAAATGGCAATACTTACTGATCGCAGTAGGCGAAATGGACTTTCCCATCTCGACTTCAGTGCTAATTTTAAAAGTTTCCCATCTTCCCAATCGTACTCCAATGTGTTGTTATCTGTTGTGCGGAACATAAGTAAATTCATCAATTTCCAAAAAGAATATGAATTTGCGATGTAAGTTATACCACACTTTGGTAACCCTTACTTAAGATATTAATTTTTATGCAATCAATTTTTTCTGTGATATAGTAACTTTCAGCTTTGAGTTTTTCGGTTACATTCAATGTTGTCTATCAAAAGTTGTTTAAAAGCTTCGACTCGAAAATGGCACATGGAGTATTTTTAAACAGTTATTTTCATTTTAGTTTTATAAATGCTTGTTATACTTTACCAACAGTTTTATGCGGCCACTGTAGCAAATTTTCCAAAGAGTATCTACAATTGTCTTCAAAAAGCTGAAAGTTTTTGTATAATAAAAAAGACGTCTTTGCACGTATTGAATATTTTAAATATTTCCAATTTGACGTTCAAAATCTGTTCAATTTCAAACATAATTTTTCTAATTGTAATGGAACAGACTTAATACGTTTTGTGTAAGTTATATTTGGCACTATTATCTTGTTAAAAATATACAAATCTTGTATAATTTAACCTTATGCCAACTATTATCGTGTATTAATTTCGAGTATGAATTTATATTATTTAAGGTAAGAAAAATACACAATTTTCATGGAATTTTGATACTTTAATTTGTTGATATAAAGTGAAGTAAAAATTGTAAATGTTTAAAGTAAAATTTAAAATTGAAGTGATTTTTATAGTTTAGCAAGATATTTATAAGCTTGCAATGTAGCAATTGCTAGAAACAATTTTTTTACAATAAATTTTTGATAATTGAGTAAAATTTAAAAAATGAAATATCGAAATAGCATTTATATTTTTGCTTTAACTAATAGTAATAAATATGCAAAATGAGTGTATGATAATACTTTTCCTATGATTTCATTACACAAGAGTTATGTATTTTTAACAAAATACTTGTGTCAAACTTACCCAAAAATCTGTTAAATTTTAAACATAATTGTACCGTCTAAAATTGAACAGAATCAACCAAGTATCCTGCAGTAAAATATGTATTGTCATATGTCTCAAGCCCTTTATTAGTTTTATTAATACTAATATAACTACTTATAACAGATCACGTATTTTGTTTGATAGTATGAAATTAAAATAAATTCCGTTGAAACAAAGTGGTTATATTGGTAGTACCCTACATGTTTATAATGTAAAAATAATCTTAAGGTGGTTCATGCGAAAATTAAAAACTAGGCTATCAAAGTAAAACTTGGAGAGGTTCTTTACGAACCCTTTGTATACCTCTCTGCAAAATTTCAGATAAGCTTATAGCATAAAATCATAAGAACGAGACGTTCGAAAATCGTCGTTGAGCTTAGGATAATACGAGCTCTTATGGACTTACACAATTTTGTCACCGTACGTCATACGATTACTTTTCGTAGAACTCGGCCAGGATGATCAAAAACTAGAGTTATAAACTAGAAGTTATCTTATTTGTAATGGTTCGTTGAAAATTTTACCTTATAGGACAAAATTAAAAGATATTAATTGAAAAGCAATCATGTATTGCCATTTACTATGTCAAAAGCATAGGCGAGAGTGGACTGCTAATTTTTTGAGGTTAATCGGAATTACATAAAATAGTTGTTAGAAACCTTGATATTGGATATTGTGATCTATAATGTGACACGGATGCTTTGTTTCATTCAATGAAGAATATTTAATAAAATATTTATGAATATTGACAGCCTCAATAGAAATTATCTTTTTAGTTGCACATTTGACTCGGGAGTCACGCATGAACCACCTTAAGTAGTAGTATTCCAATTTTTTTGTTTTTTTGCATGAAGATTGAGAATGCTGTACTGATAAAAGTTAATATTAAAGTACATCATACGTAACGCACATTAATAATTTACACTTACTTTATGATAGTAATGCATAACATGTTGCAAGAAAATTACAATATACAATTTTTTAGAAGTTCTTCCTAATAATAAATTGACGTGATGACAAAATGCATAGTTAAATTGAAACGGCGAAGCTAAGTTTTTAATACGCTTCTGCTCAATTAACGTTATACACTAAAATATTTTTCTGGCTGTAGTTTGGATTGGTATTCTTTCTTAGAATGTGACATACAGTCACACTTGAAGCGCATATATAAGTAGTAGGTAGTAAGTATGTACAACGATATTAGCCACCTATACGTCCTATACACGCTGAGGAACTATCAGGTTGCCTGGTTTCGTTTCATTTCACCGTCACTTGCAGTCACAATAAAGTCTTACGCAGTTTATACCATCAAGAAAATCCCGTCCTGCAAGAATCAACTGGTTATTATGGTGTATACGATAGCTATGGTGAGGTAAAATTAACGAAAATTCAAGATATCATAACAAATTCCCTCCTAAAATTTGCTAACAAATTTTTCCAACTTTGCTGACTCTATAATTATCTTCTTTACTGTTTCATTTCTACACTATACATTTACTCTTTCACTCGAATATATTCTGTTGTACTTACGTCATCTATATCGAATACTTATTTATGTGCAATGTTTAATTGACACACGTGTATCCACGTAATCGCATTTTAATAAAATAACAATGTTTATATTTAATATCTTGAGGTTATTTAAGGTACCTACATTATGTATTTGAAATATTTCAAGGCCTCACTTGCACTGTCAAATTATTTTAACTACATTTGTAGGATACATCCAGAACTTAGTATTTCTTTGGCATTACTTATAATATTTGATGAATACTCCATTATAACTTAATGTCTTATTAATATTTTTCTCAAGTATCCCTGTGATAATAAATACCATATTTTGCAATATAATTTGAGAAGATTAAGAGGAAGTGGGGTTTGGGTCGCTCGCGCGGGGAGGTGAAGGGGAGCACACGTGCATATATCGATGGTCCAGAGGAAAAGACAATTCCAGCGTGACGTAACCCCATTTGAAATAACACGGAGCGACGTCACGCTGGAATTGTCTTCCTCTCAACCATCGATATATGTATAATATAATATGGAGTGTGCAGGGCGCCTAATGCATGCATGCATTAAGGCGCCGTCATAAAAATCTGCTGTACTAACCTAGCCCAAAAACGTCCGCTCTGTCGGTTACGGTGTGGTGTTACGGTATTGGCCAGTACTTAAGTTATTCATGTGTTAATTATACGCGTCAAAAAAATTACAGAATTTTCTTCAAGGTATCTAGTTTCTTATAGCATAAATTAAATAACATAAATACTTTTTGTATGGGAGATGAATGCAAACATTACATTTGTCGAAACTTTATAGATTTGTTCGATTACAAGGTTCCAAGCGCTCGGAGTGCTCCGAACTCTAGCCCAAACACGCGTTCTTGCTCCGAGCGTTCCAAGTGCACGTGACTCAGGCCGCCTGTGGATAGCCGGGTAAGATCCAGCTAACCTATATTATTTTTAATAGTAATCAATGATTCATAAAAACGATTTTATTTTATTTCATACGAATTAGAAAGTGGTTGTCGACAGCTCTAGTATAGTTACGAGGTGAAAAAGCTGATATGTGTTTTTAAAAAAGTTTCTCAAAAAAGTTTTTGTTTTAAAGTTTTACCAAGTTTTTTCTAAAATGGAAAAACAAACGGTAAGTGTTTTTTTTTATGCTTCAATTAATGAGATTAGCTAAGCATTTACGGATTTGCAATAGACTTTGATAAAATTGCGTTGTGGCGAATGTGGATATGATATTGAGGATGATCGAATTTTGAAACATCATTGTCTCTCTCAATATTGGGAAGTTGAACTGATGGGCTTTTACGTATACCCCCTCCTGCTAGAGGTAGGTACATATCAGTACTCTTTATAGAATAAAATTTTCTAGAATGAAATGCTGATCTACCAATATTTTAGGATGTAAAAAAAATAATGCTTCTTATATATCTACTGATTCCGAGACTTGGATCAGAGTTGAAGACTGAATGAACATATGAATTTTATATTTTGTAACATTAATATAATACTAACATTTTCCG